TAAAGCCTTTCAGAAAACAAAGATGCACTAACCCACGTATTTGTACTCTCCTCTTCCATTTAGTTTACTCTAGTTAGTTGTCCACACTTTCTTTTCATAACCCTTATTATCATTTGTAGGTAGGCATTATTTGTTTAGGTTAGCTATAAATTTTTCAGTAATTATGCTGACCATATTTTCTTGCATATACTTGCTGGCTTCATTTTCAACTACATGAAGAACTTTATTCAGTATTTCTTTTCATGAGTATTTGGTCAATCATTTATTTCTTCAAAAACATTTACAGAGCATCTACCATAAGCAAGAAAGAGTTTTAGGTGCTGGAGATATAGCAGCAAACAAAACAAAATCTCTGCTCTCATGGAGTGATTAGGCTATTGGAGTGAAAGAAATAGTAGAGACATTTTTGTCAGCACTATGAAGAAGAAAAATCAGGCATATTAAGGGGAAGGGGAATTATTACTTTTTAAAGGGTGACCAAAGAATGCCTCTCCGATACAGTGGGATTTTCCTGAGACCTGAGGATTGTGTGTGAATCAGCCATGAGAAATTTGGGAAAAGAGTGAGGATGTATTAGCTGTAAATTATCTGTCTTATGGTATTTTATATTAACATCAGTCTTAAATAATAATCTAGTTGGCTATAAAATTTGGGATTTACAGTTACTTTTTCTTTCGGGATTTTCAGGATATATTTTTATTATCTTTCTCTTCTTGTTTTTAAGAAGTCTACTATCAAATTATTTTTTGTAGGTAATATGTCCTTATTTTATTGTTTTCCTGTTATACTACTTTTAAAATATCTTCTTTGGTATTCTCTAATTAGTCTATGTGTGGCTTGGATCAATTTTAATCTATTGAGTTTGTAACTCATTTTTCTTTAAGCTAAGGATGAATATATTTGAACAATTTGGGAAACTTCATTATTAGTGCATCGAATGTTTTTTCCTTCTTATTTTGTGTATTCTCTTATATTTAGAATCTAAATAGACATATGCTGAATCTTTTCCTTTTGTCTAAGGTACTACACTGCTCTTTCATGCTTCCATCATTTATCAGCCTGAAATATAAACCAAGCATTTTTCCTCATGTACATCTTCCAGTTCACTAATCTGTCATTAGTGATATCTAATCTTCTATGTAACACATCAGTTTTAAAATTTGAATATTATTTTTCTTGTATGGAAGGTCAACCTCAGATTTTTTTTTTCAAATCTCCTTTTTATTTCTCTCTATAACCTTTGTAATTTTAATTAGAGTTATTTCTGAACCTCTATTTGATAATTCTGTTATATAGAGTCCTTGGAGGGGGGTTAATTTAGTTGTGTGTTGCATCTGCTGACTCCTGCTCATGACCATTTCCTTAGGAATTTTGTTGTGGATTGTGAGCTTATTTTCACCAAGTCCTTGGGCCCCTGCACCCACGTGGGAGACCCGGAGGAGGCTCCTGGCTCCTGGCTTTGGATTGGCGCAGCTCTGGCCATTGCGGCCAACTGGGGAGTGAATCACCAGATGGAAGACCTCTCTCTCTCTCTCTCTCTCTCTCTCTCTCTCTGCCTCTCCTCTCTTTGTGTAGCTCTGACTTTCAAATAAATAAATAAATCTTTAAAAATATCAAGTTTTGCTTTCATAGTGATTGTTCTATCAGTCTTTGATGTTCATATGGGATTATACATAAGTAAATACAAAATAAGAAGTTTGTTCTTATTAGAGATGTCTTCACATAGAGAATGAAGCTCTTGCCTTTTCATAAGCAGTCTTGTAGTCAGCTTGTCTAATATGTGAGGTGTGTTGGCAGTAATCTTTGTAAGCAAAGCCTTGTCAGATATATTATTTCCATATTTGTTGTTCATCATGGCATTGTGTCTCTATCATTATAATTTGCCTGACTCATCAACAACTACTGTGTCTCTGCATCAGAGCTTGTAAGGTAATTAATATTTGCTAGGAGTACAGCGGGTCCTCAAGAACTCTACTGAGACAGTGTTCTCTCTCTTTTTGTTCCTAGGAGTACACTATTGATGTATTTTTTCGACAGACATGGCATGATGAAAGACTAAAATTTGATGGACCCATGAAGATCCTTCCACTGAACAATCTCCTGGCTAGCAAGATCTGGACCCCTGATACATTCTTCCACAATGGCAAGAAATCAGTGGCTCATAACATGACCACACCCAACAAGCTGCTCAGACTGGTGGACAATGGAACCCTCCTCTACACAATGAGGTCAGAGAGTAGTTACCCTCACTCAAAGTATATTGGGTATAGGACTGGGATTGAAAGTGGTGTGTTGTAAGGGATCCATTAAATATTCTGTCAAGTTTATGCATATAAATGTATAAAGTGCCTAACACATTTGCATTTATACACCTAATATTCAAGATACACATATAAATATCTACACATAGGAATATTCTGAGACACACAGAGATACATGTTTATGACATAAAAATGTTTCCACACTCAGAGACACATGTGGACTAACATATAGGGACGTATTATTCAAAGATCCTTAAATGCACAAGATACACATCCATGAACACTGTGATCATCAAGATTTGCTATATTTAACTGAAGCAACAAACTTTACTTATGATGAAGAATTGTGATGCTCACATGAAATAATGATGGATATTTTCTGGAACCTAAAGTGTTTATATATATATATATATATATATATAAATGAAACATTATATTAAAGTTTATTTTATGCCACATTGCCTGAGGATGCTGAGGAGTTTGATATAAGTGAAGTTTCTAAACAATTTAAGATTTTACCTTTTAGACCCTATATATGAAGTGTGTATGCAGAATATATAATTATATATAGCAAGCAGTTATATGTATGTGTGTGTTGGGGTATTGAAGCCTTCACAATATATTTCATACATTTCTACTTCCCGATGCATAAAAACTATCACAATTTTATATGATTTGTGACTAATTATTGTCATTAGTTATTAGGTATTGAATTTTATTGCCAAAAATGATAACTTTGAAAGCATTTACGGTAAAATATGATTCTTTGCTCCAACACTAAAACATTTGTTATTTCTTGTGTTGAATTAACCTTTACTGAATGGATAAATGCAGTCATTCAGTGCACAATGAAATTCATTGCATTCCTGGTAAATATGTAGTGAGCAAGTAAAGTATGCTTGCCCTTATACTAGTCCCTTACAACTTAAAATTTGGTATTTATTGATGTTTTTCTAGGAGAATTTGGGAGGCAGGGACATGGCTAAGGAATAACTGATAACAAATACTTAACAGAAATGTTGAATGAGAGAGGAGATGAGGGAGATGAGAGACTAGAGGAGAAAGGAGCATAGAACAGATAAGAAAATTATGAACAAAACATGGAATGTGGGTAAAAATTGGAAGAAGAATGAAGAAGGAAAGGGAAGACTAATCACATTGCTATATATATGTATATAATTTTGATTTATATGTATAAAATCTGGGATAATAAAGATGGGAAAAGAGAAAGAAAATGAGAAGAGATAATAAAGAATAGAAATGTTGAGGAGATAAAGGAAAATATGGAGTAAAATATTAAGATATCCTAAAGAGACGGGAAAGATGATGAAAGAAGAGAGGACATAGAGAAGTAAAAGAAAGAACACAGTAGGAATTGAGTAAGAGGGAGGGACATTTTGGATGGAGGAAAGATAAGTATTGGTTCATTTATTTATTCCCCAAACACAAGTTTGGACTTCCTAATATATACATGGTCTTAGACTAAGTTCTGTGTATGCAAATATTAATGAGACATGACCTCTTCCCTCAAGACAATAACAATATAATAGGAAAGACTTAATTAGGTAATCACAAACAATATTAACTGAACTGCTGAATATGTGGGTAATTGTGGAAGGGTAGAGGGTCATTTAACTCATACTACTTTTCAGTCAGGTTGAACAAAGAGTCCCTGGAAGAGGGAACACTTAAACTCCTGTGTATTGGTAATAATATTAGCTTTTATATGATTATATAAGTAGAATGTTTTAAAAAAAATTGGGTAGAAGAAAGAGGGAATAGAGAGAAGACATTCTAGACAGGTAAAACTAAACGAGTAAGTTGCAGATAATGAGATGATATGCTTTTTAAGCAAGAGAATGAAGTGGTCAAAGAAATAAAGAGTTTAAAAAGATCAAAGTGTTGAATAATAACAGTAGTAAGATGATAGTTAACATCAACATAGTACTTACAGTGTGCCAGACACTACTTTAATAATATAATGTCTCTGTGAGATAAACACTCTTATCCCCACTTTATGGATTAGGAAACTGAGACTTAAAGTTCCCCTAGGTAGTAGATGGTCGAGCCAGAATTCATGTTCTGGCTCTTATTTAAACATTTTTACAATATCATTTGTTATTACAAAGATATCAAGTAATATAGATTCTTCTATATTATTATTATTATTCTATTCTTCTATTTTTTTTTTTTGACAGGCAGAGTGGACAGTGAGAGAGAGAGAGAGAGAGAAAGGTCTTCCTTTTCCGTTGATTCACCTCCCAATGGCCGCTGCGGCCAGCGCACCACGCTGATCCGAAGGCAGGAGCCAGGTGCTTCTCCTGGTCTCCCACGCAGGTGTAGGGCCCAAGGACTTCGGCCATCCTCCACTGCACTCCCAGGCCAGAGCAGAGAGCTGGACTGGAAGAGGGGCAACCAGGACAGAATTGGTGCCCCGACCGGGACCAGAACCCTGTGTGCCAGTGCCACAGGCAGAGGATTAGCCTAGTGCGCCGCTGCACCGGCCGTAATATAGATTCTTAAACTATGCACAAGGTTTGGTACCATGGAGGACATCCGTGTTCCTCACAGATATGTTTCAATGAAGTGGCTTGTACAATGGAAAGTTTTTAGGAGTTAGAGTAGAGGAAGAGGAGACAATGAATATAGAAAATTCTTTTGAAAGGGTTGATTAACAATGGAAGGTAGAGAAATGTAACAGCTACATTCAAGGGGCAAATGAATAACTGCCTTTGTTTCCCATGAAGAAACTGATACATACTTATGCAATGGCAGAAATGAGATAGTAGAAAACAAGGACAGAAGAGAGATATGAATGAATAAATTTATGAAGGAGAGTATGGAGAAAATAGAGCATTAGTAGAGGAATAAATAGAAGGGAGACATGCTTGTAATAAAGGGAAGAAAATATAAGAGTTTGTAGAGGGGATATAAGAGCATTATTTGTTGAAAAAAGGGATTAGAGTAGTTGGAAACGGAAGAGAGGATTTGCAATGAGGTGGTTGGAGGGATACAATGATGAGGAGGAGATGCGGATGGCTAAGCAAATAGAGGAGGAGCTAGAGGGAAGAGAGAATAATGGGCAGGAAAGGACTGAATACTGTAGAAATTCAGAATAGCAGGGGGAAAGAATAGGGAATGAATGGGAACAATGAAGAGGAGAAACTAAACAATAAAAGGAAGAGAGGTTTCAGTTTTGGAGGAGGAGGAGAAAAGATAGGGGGAGATAAGAATGTTGAAATATGAAAAAAAATGCAGATTGAAGAGGACAGAGGATGAAGCAGAGCAAAGGAATAAACACTCAAAAATAAAGTTGAATGAATGGGAATATGATAGCCACTGGCTATAAATTCTAGCCTAACTCGAACAAGAAAGTGAAGTTTTATGAGATAGGAATATATGTGGGATGTCATTGTGTTACTCTGAAGCGAAGAATGGAGGAAATGAAAAGTATAGGAGGGGCTGGCGCTGTGGCACAGCGGGTGAAGCCACTGCCTGCAGTGCTGGCATCCCATATGGTTGTTGGTTCGAGTCCCGGCTGCTACACTTCCGATGCAGCTCTCTGCTATGGCTTAGGAAAGCAGTAGAAGGTGGCCCAAGTCCTTGGGCCCCTGCACCCGCGTGGGAGACCAGGAAGAAGCACCTGGCTCCTGGCTTCGGATCAGAACAGCTCCAGCTGATGCAACCAACTGGGGAGTGAACCAGCAGATGGAAGACCTCTCTCTCTCTTTCTCTCTCTCTTTCTCTGCCTCTCCTCTCTCTGTGTAACTCTGACTTTCAAGTAAATAAATAAATCTTAAAAAAATTACAAGACTGTGATGAAGCGCTTCATTTCCTTACACAGGAAATGGCTCACCTGAGATTCAAGGAGGTAGATCTGGAGGAAGAGCTGTGCTCAAAGCAAAAAAGCTGGGCTCTTTATGGTACCACAATTGATTCATCTAAGTGACATGCATTTCACACACTGTCTGCTTTTTCCAGCCCTTCATCTGGTTACTAATGTTGCTGCTTGCCTGTTACACAGGGAGTGTTAAACAGGGAGTGTTAGTTGTTGTGCAGCACTCTTATTATTATTTTGACCCGTGAAAATTTTATCTGGATTCCATGGAAAAATTACTGAAGGAAATTTTCCTAGAAAAATCTGACCATGCACTATGTGGGTAAGTAATTAGGGCAGTGTAGAAAGAAGACTCCCCTTGCCTCATCTTGAGAGCTCAGAACAACCATAAAAATGCAGGTCAAAGCTCATTATGTGCTGCTTACTTCACCATCAGGCACACTAAAATTGGTACCATACCTCAAATATTAACAGAGTCCCGTCCAAGCTGATATACACGTTTTTGAAGCCTTTTCTACTATTCAGACATGGCTATACATGGTATTTCATCTCATTTAATGATATCTTATTGATATGGATATGGATAAGCATGCTGATTGTATTTTTCTTTAAAACCTACTATATACATATCACATAATATATGTCAGTAAAAACAAAATCCCACTGACTACTGAATAGATGGGACAAATATTCATTTAATTTAACTATACCTTATCACATTGACTTGAGTCATTCACTTAACACATTTACAAGCGCCTATTATGCTCAAAATTCTGGAATATGTGGTGAGCTAAAGATAAAATAAGTTGTAGTTCATTCTCTTGATGCCCTTAAAGTCTAGTAGTTAAGGAGACATGTGTACAGTTAACTGCACAAGAATATAAAGTCCCTTAAATACAGGGCGTTGCAAAATGCAATCCAGTCATGGGATAAGAAGCATAAAATTATATGGGGGTATCAAGGAGAGCTGCAAAGCAAGGTGATGCATATAATTCTCTCTTTAATTTTGAGGAATGTGTAGGTCACAAGCAAATAAATGAGGTAAAGGGCTCTAATAGTTGAGGATATTGCAGACAGGAGAAATACCTTGCCCAAAGACATGGATGATGGATATTCAAGCAGTTCATAA